TCTTCACATTTTAGATGCGTCGTGGTACCTGCCGGAGATGAACCGGGATGCCGAGAAGGAATTCAGGCAGCCGGGACACATACCCGGAGCCTCGCTGTTCGATATCGATGCCTGCTCCGACAGAGGGTCCCCCTTCGACCACATGCTCCCAACCGAGAGCGAGTTCGCCGCCTACGTGGGGAAACTGGGCATCGGCAATGACGCGCACGTCGTGGTTTACGACGCCAGCGACTTCGGGAGCTTCTCGGCGCCCCGGGTGTGGTGGATGTTCCGGGTGTTTGGGCACCGGGCGGTGTCGGTGTTGGATGGCGGGTTGATCAACTGGATCCGGGAAGGATACCCGGTCACCGGGGAGCACTCAGAACCCAAGCCGGTGACGTTCGTGGCGAAACTCGAGGCTTCCCGGGTGAAGAGCTACGAGGACATCCTGGAAAACCTGGAGCAGAGGGCCTTTCAGCTGCTCGACGTGAAAACACCTGGCAGATTCAGAGGAACGGAGCCAGAGCCCATGGAAGGTGAGGAGTCTCCGGTTACTCTCTGGGTTACTCTCTGTCTGGTCTATCATGATACTCGCAGGTCTTGCATGTGTAAGGGGTCAAGTCGGTGAAGAAAAAAGACATCTCTCACCCGGAAAATTAAAAAAAACCCCAACAAAATCTGGATTTCAAAGAGTCGTAGGAGTCTGTAACAAGCTGCTCATGAAGGTTACAGACAAGGAGAGTCCATGTGTTCTTTCTTGCTTTGGCTGCAGATGGTTAGTCGTTTCCTGAAGAATCTCGAGAGGATCAGATCCAAACTATTTGATTTGGCAGTTTGTTGACAAAGGATCCCAGATCATCAGTTTTAACTACATGTGTGAGAAGTGCGTTCCTTCAGGATACTAGAGAAACAGCTTCAGCAACATGACTGGCCAATTTGTTTCCTTCAAGTATCTCGAAGAATCAGCTTTAACGACATGACTGAGAAAGTTCGTTCCACAAAGGAGCTGGAAGAAGCAGCTGTAATAAAATGGCTGGGCAGCCTATTCCTGAAGAAGCTTTAACAGCTTGACTG